ATGTTGATAATGGCCATCTTTAGGGTCAGGAGCAATCCTACAACTTCTTGACAAAAAAGTCCCAGAGAGTGCTGAGGCTCACTTTTTATGCTGAGTAGGGTGAGTAGAGTCCTAGCTTTGTTCTGAGGTATTACTGTGTAATTCTTAGCAATGTGTCACTCTATATAGAACTGACATGTAGGGAATGATGTTAAATTTATGAATTTGGACATTTGGTTAGACACTACACCAATTTTATATTTGGTAGTGTGATCTGAGTACTATTCAATCCATGTCTGAAAGTAATCTCAGAGTTTATGTATGTAGTATAGCTTGCCCTATATGGGTAGTTCTACTCAATCTGATAGCCAGTAATATAATGTTAATCTGACTTAATCTGACGACTCCCAGAAACCACACAATGATAATTCAGATGCCAGTGCATTGCCCCTGTGCTGATGAAATGAGCAAAACTATTGCCTCAAAATGGTTCAGCAGATTTTCCCATCACAGTTCCCATCTCTCTTCAGAAAACCTGTGAGGTTTTGGAACCAGAATGTTTAGTTGTCAGTTACTGTGTTAGACATTGTGTTGAGCTTAATTATGTTGTAACCTGTAAACCCATTACAAATTGATGATATAGGAAGTACCCCTCTGACATACTGATGGATGAAACTGAGGCTTCAAGAGCTTAGGTTCCTTGTCCAAGGTCATACAGCTTGTAGGTGGGCCAGCTAAGATTTAAGCCAGGTCTGTGGGACTCCCAAGTCCATTCCTATTCCTTTTATACCATGTTTTCTTTCAACTATATCAATATGTAAAATTAACCTAATTTTTAAATGCAGACACTTAGGAATAGCATATTGCATATCAGTCACAGAGTTCATGAAATAACATTGATTTTGTGTTACATATAATTAATATACAAACTGAAAAACCTGAAACTTATTATAACTTTCAACTTTCTGGTCCTTCTAGGTTATGGTAACGCTAAAAAACCTGAAGAGTCTGCCACATTTAGTGGTTGTAAAAATTAATAAACTAAGGATCTTCCACAGTCTTGCTTGCTAAGTCTGATATTAAATACACAACTAAGAGTGGCAATGGTATTTTTAAGGATTCCGTATGCATTTGAAATACTGGCAGAATTTCATATGTAGGAACTCTAATAATAGAAACAACTTCACCACTTTTGGTTTTAATGTGTTCTTTCTATTCATAGGCCAGGTTTCCTAAGGTTTTATCTTGAAGTGTTAACAGGGAAATCTGTCACCAGTAAAGGACTAAATGAAGTCACGAGGCATATAACAAGCAGAACAGACAAGTAACCTTCACTCGGATACTTAAGAAAACACTGGCAGAAACCCTGATATAATCAATTTGCAAATAACTTGAAACAAGAAGGTACTTAGTGGATAGTGACTAATACGTCCTACTTAAAACCAAATCCTTTTAAACTAATCTAATATGGTAGATCAAGGAGAAATAATAGATGTACTCTGTCTTGATTGCAGCAAATCTTTTGATTATCTTCATGTTACACCCATAAATGAACAAAAAAGAAAAAAAAGTGATCTACAGCCAATAGCTGACTGGATTATAGTCACTACATAGTGTCAAACATCTGGATGAAACTAGAAGATGCTCTGTTTCTATAATGTCAGATCTATGTGTATAAATACAACATATACACACATGTGCACACATACACACATAGAATATATGTATTTGGAAATATCTGAATTTTAGCCTTTGTTATTTTACTGGAATTTTTACATCATATGAACTTACTTGAAGTCCTATGTCCCAAATACAAAGAATATGAATAATTGTGAGAAAGTTCACAGGAATGAAAGGAAAATGAATGAGACATCAGAAAAAGTATAGATGTTAATGCTATCAGGATAATCCAATCTGTAAAAAAGGTAGATAAGAGATAATAATATTATTTGACTATGCCTACATACTAAATAAAACAACCAAAAAATTTGGTCAGATGACTATCCGAGAAAGTCAGATAAGTTAAAAAAATCCAGTGATGCCATCAAAATAGTAATTGATAGCCTACATGTGTATTGGTTGAACTTTTACTAATAGCTCAGTCATCTAAAATATAGGAATTTGCTGGCCCTTGAGGAGTATTGCCTTGGGAGGATGGACAGATCAAAGACAAAAATTAGAGGAAAGTTAAATGATCAAGAGAGAACATAAAAGCCAGAGATCCAGAAGCCAGAATAAGGGATATGGACCCTCTGCACGTTAATAGAAAGTTCCATCTACCTGAAACCAAAGGGACTTGTGGCTTAAAGAAAGGTTGCCTCAGCCTGGAAAATGCCTTATATTTTTCTGCCGCAATTAAAACCATAAGGTTTGCAAAGCTGGGTGTTTGTGCTACATTTCTGTTTCCTGACTTTGTTCCATCTTCCTTTTTCTTTGGTAATTCCATCAGTGACTCCTCCTAAGGTCCTTGCTTCACCTCATCCAACAATCTAAGATTTCAAACCCTTGGATTGGTGCTTTCATGCATTCTCCCCACTTCCCAGCAAAGACCACCAAGATTTCCCATCAACACACTTTCACTCATGAGCATATTTCCTCCAGTTTAAAACCTCAGCATCAGATTCTTTGCAGCTTCTAAAATGTAAGTGATAAACTGATTCATTTGAAGTCATTTAGTGGAAAAAGTCCTGAGGAAAATACTTCCCTACCAGAAAAGTGTCCACCCACAGCACAGACCCTAACCCCTGCCCTGCTATAGGTACATTTAAAAAAATGACTATTCTGACTTTCCTAATCTAAGGCAACAGCAGTTACATGGAATAACATTGATGGTGGGAATATCAGACCAGGTCAAGAGTGGTGAACGTATAGGCAGGAGACAGGGTGAATATGGCTGGAAAAACATAAGGATATATTTGGAGTCTGATAGAACATGATGTGGTTTTCGGATCCTATTAGAAGTAGCCTCCTTGCTTGCTCAAACATAAGGCTGACCCTATCTCAAGCCTGTATGATTCTATCAGAATAATGTGTTGTGGTTTAAGTTCCATGGGTGTGGGGTAAGACTGCCCAAGAGCAAACCTTAGCCCTTACTAGTGGTGTAACTTTAGGCAGGCTACTTAACCTCTATGACTCAGTTTCCTCAGCTGTAAAATGGGAATGATGATAATAGCACCTCCCTGAGGATCAGTTAAGTTAAGTATGTTCATGTAAAGTGCTTAGACTAGTACCTAGCAGATGAGAAGTGGATAATAAATAGTGGCTAATTATTGCTTATGATGTTGACTATTACTACCATTACCACAGTGCTAAGACTCTGCCTGAAGAAAATGAGCGTAGTCATTTTTTTCTTACTTACCAAATAACCACTAAATACCTCTGATATGCCAAAGAGTTTCTTGATATTTGCATGAACTGTTGAATAAGACAGGAACCATTAATGTTGTAGTAGGGGAAAGGCAATATAAATAAATACATTAAATGATCAAGTAAATAATTATAAACTATGACTATTGCTATGAAGGAAACAAACATGGTGCTGAATTAGAAAAATAATGGAGGAAAATATACTATCCATTCTCAGATTGGTCAGAAAAGCCCTCCCTCGGGTAATAACATTTAAATTGAGACCCGAATGTTGAGAAGGAACCAGAAATTTGAAAAGGCAGAGTGAATGTAGGTGTGGAAGCATGGGGATCTATTTGGAGACTGATAAATTATGATGTGACTCTCAGTTCCCCTCAGAATTAGCTCTGAAGGAACATGTGAAACAGTCAGTGGACTGTTGTCCTTACATTTCACTTCTTATTAATGAAATAAAAATCAGCAGTAAAAAGATTTGCACCTGGCAGTAAAGCCTATCGAAAATTGTACCTTAAAGTTTTATCCAGTCACATTTAAAGGTCGCAGTTTAATTTTATATTGAGTGTTTATCCTTTGTCGGATAGCTTACCTGTATATAATGCCAAGGTTGTCAACTCTACTTTCAGAATTTACCTCATGTTCATCCACTTTTCTTCAGTACTACTGACCGTCTTCCCGATCCAGCCCACCATTATGTCACCTGGAGAGGTTCAGTAGCCTCTCCAGTTTCACTCAATAGAACTACTAGAGTGAACATTACAAAATGTGAATTAGATGATGTCATTCCCATTTTCAACTTTCCTATCCTTCCTTTTCCACCACAAATAAAATCCTTTCTATGGCCTGAAAGCCTCCACACAATCCAACCTCTGCCCAGCTCCTGACCAGACTCCAGATGATTCTCTGCCTCTCTCATGTTGCCCACTTCACTTTCCCCATCTCTTTCTTAAGTCTAAAGTCAGTGAACAAAACAAGGAACCAAGCCCGATTTGTAGCTTTTGCCAATTTCTATGGTGTAAATACTTCCACCTTGACCAATTACAAGCTATGGATACAATGTCACTGGACATGGAGCTGGGCAGAGAAGCACAGTTGTCCCCCGTTGTAGTACTACCACCTTACAGATAGCAGGAGGTGTAACAAACTCAAGAGCACAGATAATAGTAAAATTTATAATATGATTAGAAAGTAATATAATTTGAGTATTGATTGGCATTTTTTTTTAATTGAAGTATAGTCAGTTTACAATGTGTCAGTTACTGGTGTATGATTGCCTTTGTTTTAAATGAAATGTAATTGTAAGTTTATGTAATTCATTTTTTGAAGTGCATATTTTTAAAAACTAGCTTGCAAAATTTCTGAAAATTTAACAGTAGGTTCTCATGAGCTGGTACATACTGACTCCAAATCATCACTATATGTACCCCAGAAGTTCTTAAACACTCCTGCTTGGATATTTACACAAAACAAAGAAAATTCTCTATGTTTTGGTGATTTTTTTTTCTCAGCTGTTGTTTGGAAAAGTTTTTAGCTCTCCTTCATTTCTGAAGGATAACCTTGCTGGATAGAGTATTCTTGTATGGAATTTTTTTCTTTCATCACTTTGAATATATTATCCTACTCTCTCCTGGCTTTAGATTGCTACTAAAAAATCTGCTGATTTGATCAGCCTTGGGGGTTCCCTTGTAAGTTCCAAGTTTCTTTTCTCAAAGTTTTTTAAGATTCTCTCTTTGATTTTTTTTTTTTTTACAGTTTTATTGTAGTGTATCTTAGAGAGGATCTCTTTAAGTTGAGTTGTTTTGGTGACCTGTGAGCTTCATGAACTTGGATATCCGAATCTTTCCCCAGATTTGGGATGTTCTCATCCATTTTTTCTTTAAATAAGCTTTCTGCCCTTCTTCTCTTCTCTTTCTGGAACTCCAGTAACTCACAACTGGCTCTTTAATAGGTATCCCAATAGATCTTGGAGACTTTCTTCACTTTTTTCCAATCCTTTTTCTTTGTTCTTCCTGATGGGATTATTTCAAAATTCCTCTCTTCAGACATACACGTTCTTCTTCTGTCTGATCTATTCTGTTGTTGATGCTCTGTATTGCATTTTTTTCATTTCATTCATTGTATTCTTCAGCCCTAGAATTTGTTTGCTTTTTTTTTTATAACTTTTATCTCTCAGTTAAACTTCTCATTTTGTTCATATATTGTGTTGCTGATTTCATTGAATTGTCTTTCTTGTTTTCTTGTAGCCCGTTGGGTTTCCTTAAAATAGCTGTTTTGTATTCTTTATCGAGTAAATTGTAGAGCTCCATGTCTTTCTTAATGGCTCCTAGGTTATTATTGTAATCCTCTAGTGGTGCCATGTTTTCTTGATTTCCCATGTTCCGTTGAAGTGTTTTTTCACTACTATCTTTGCCTTTGAAGTAGCAGTCACTTCCTCCAGTTACAAACTGGCCTTGCTAATGTGTCTAAACTCATATATTTTTGTTCCATCAGTGTGGTGGAACTTCCCTGCTAGAAATCTGAACTTTCTCAGAGGCTTTTTTTGTCCATGGGTGATTGTCTAAGACAATGTTTTGCATGGCCTCTGGAGCATAGCTGAAAGGGGCTGGAGCTAATTCATGGGTCATTGCAGGGTCCACAGCCAGGACCAAGTCTATGTGCCTATTACCCAAAGCATGGGAGTTTGAGGCCCTCCTGAGTCTCTTGGCATATGGTACGGGATCCCACAGCTCCCACAAAGGTACTCTTATCTGTGAGTGGATACAAAATTGGTGTTGAGGAACACACAACAAGAGACATCTTAGTCAACCATGATGCTTGACAATTAAACATTACTGAATGATTGGATGAGTACTCTTATTCTATGGTCAAACTAAACATTTTTTTTTTCTAAAAGGTTAGTTCTTTCTGACATTTTTTCCTAAAGACACTGCTTATATTTTTGTCATCTATGCTCAAATCCTGAGTTATCTCTTAAGCATCCATCTCCTCACCCTTGCTGTTCACCAGTATTGGTAAATGTAGCTGAAGTGTCCCACCTCTACCTTTATATCTTTTCTAACTATTGTCTCTAGTCTAGCTCCCACCCTTATCACCTTTCACTAGGCTAGTGTTAATTGTCTTCAAATTAACTTTCCTACCTACAGTCTCTTGCCACATTCATCTGTCTTCTTGCTGCCAGAGGAACCCTCCTGTAGCACAGGTCAGAACATGCCATGTCCTTTAAAACAGGCCAGATGGCTCTGACACCATCAGAATAAAATCCAAATTCCCTCATGTGCCATTCTGGCCCTTCCACAATCTGGCCTCAGTCTGCCTATCCACTATTTCTTCTTAGCAAATCCTTTTACATTTGACATGCTGATGTTTCCCAGGTGAATTCCTCAGAGCACTACTTCCTCAGAAATTAATAGATGCTACATTGAACACATTTCCCAAGGCCAAATAAGCGGGGATGGCAATGCTAGCCTAAGCAGAGCTTGGTAGGACTTTACAGAGCCAAATTGTGTTGAAAAATATGACCCAACAATATATACGTTTTGGATATATATTTGGTAAAACTATAGAGATAAAAAGTGAATAATAAATACAAAATTCAGGGTAGTAGTTATCTTTGTGGAAAGGAGGGAGTTGTGACAAGAGAAGTGTATACAAAGGTCTTTAGTGATGTTGGGAATTGTTCTGTATCTTAATCAAGGTAGCATGCACATGGATGCATGTTATTTGTTGTGTATCTTTTTTCATATTTTAACATCTCTGAAATTAGGATGGTCTTATAATTGCTGAGAATCAAGCGACAATTGTCTTTACCTTAGAAATATCTTAGCCAATTTCTTTCACTTACGTCCTTGGAAATATCTTAGCCAATTTCTTTCACTTATATCCTCCTTTTTTTTGTATGCACAAGAGTGACATAGGACAAAAAAATCTAAGTGTGAAATACCTCTTTTATTGAGTACAAACTGAAAATCTAAATGGCAAGAAAAAATTATCCAAGAGTTTGTAACAATATTTACATTCGAGTTTGATAGTAACTCAAGGACCTTTGTGTCTGAAGCAGATTTCCCCTGACTTGTTCTCTCACAGCCGAAGTAGATTGTAAAGATGACTGTTAAAATAGCAAGCTCGGTATTTCACACCTAGTAGGTGCACACTAAGTAATGTTGATTGGATTTCCAGTGACTGCTCAGATGACCTATTAACATTGTTCAGTAAATCTGGCCTTTTCCAGGAAAAAAAAAAAAGAGGGAACAATGATTGGAAAGCACACTTTGACTAATATGTGGCCAGATAAGACAATTTGCATTTATGTGCCAATGGGAAAAAGCTACTAGGAATCTTAAACTCGAGTTGGTCTTGCCTTTCTCCTAAGTGCTGCTTTGCTGAGTTGTGTATGATGCTAATTACTTCTGTTCTCAATACCAAAATCCTAATGTCCTTAAGGGACTGTGGCTTTTATCTTGTTATCGTATATAATGCTACGTACATACTGTTACTTAATTGTTATTTGATTACTGGTTCTGTTTGTATGACACATTGATTACATTGTCAAAATACAGGGTTTTGGTTGTGACTCAGCTCTATTTATATTGCCACAGACCTTATAATTCTACCCATGACTCTAGATTAGAAACCATTGTATGATATGTGATTCTTATTTATTTGGCTGGTGATCAGTGAGTCAAGAGAGACTGAAAGGTGGATAAACTGATTTATAAGGAAATCCTCCTTTTCTGTATTTACTGACCTTCAAGTGTTGGTTCAACTAGCAGTAAGTCCAATAACAGACATACCTTGGAACTAAAACCTCAGGAGATACCCAGACTCTACATATGACCAAACTTGAACTTCTCAGATTCATGTAGATACTACATGTTCTGATCATCACATTCTGTGGAAATTTAAGTCTTAAATTATATCGTCAGTCTTTCTTACTGTTGAAAGTCATTTTTATTTGCATACTTTTCCTTTTCTGAAAAGGCTACTCCTTAGTTCACTTGTGATCTCCATTTTTCTATTGTTCACAGTACCAGCTTAGTATTAAGCCCTTATTAACTACTTATTGAATTCTTATCCTAATCATTTGTAAGTTAAAGACTTTGATTAGTATGTTCTATCCCTAAACATTTTGGCATCATGAAAATTGAAGATTATTTAGAAATGGAAATGTTATGTTCTGCTTTGCTCTGATATCTTTATTATCCCTAAACCTGGATCAGAAATCTTGAAATTGCTGTATTTGCTATTTGTTATTTAGAAATGATAATCCTGGGACATATCACTGCCCCCAAGTTATTACATATAAAAAAATTAAATCTTCCCAAGACAAATAAAATAGGTGAAAAATTAATTATGAGTATAGCTCATTTCAAAAATTACACTTAAATCCACAGATGAAAATACTTTTCTTAATGACTACATCATTTAATTGTTATGCAAAATTTTAGAATGAAGAAGTTCTTATAGATTTAATTCATTCTAATTTAATAAGAATAGAATTAATTGCTTCTTTGGTTAATTTAAATATTAGCAATAATCATCCCAGTAGAGATTATTTAGGGAAAAAAAAGACGATGAAGAACAAGTTTTAATAGCGTTTGGCTGTCTCTAAAGACTACAGTTAAAAGCATCAACTATTTAATCTTCTTATTTTTTTGTGAAATAATTTTCAAAATGAATATTTTAGATCAGTGATCTAATTTAAGCCTTGTTAAAAAGCAAGAAAAGCATGTAATCAGAAATAATTCTTCTGCCAAATCTTACATTAAAGTCAAGGCCTTTTACATACCTTTAAAAAGTATTTGGGAATCAGAGAATCATAATTTTTTAAAAAATTCTTTTTCTGTCTCATAGCATATACACATTCTGTGTTCTATGTCACTTTCTCCTGACAGTTTCTATAACAGAAAGTCTTCAGTGTGTTTGGGATAAAGAATTCTAAATAATAAATTTCATTATCTTTCTAAGGACATGTGGCAAGTCACAAAGGGTAAAATTATCAAGTATTAAACTACTCAAAGAACTCCTCCAAGTACTTCCATTAAGAAGATTAATGATTTGCACGGCATTTATCTGGAAAAACAATGTTAAATTGACCAATTTGGCATTTGTTTTATAAGAAAGGTGAGTGTCTGCTGAAAAGTCTATTAAAAGTAAGAGACACACTGCAGACTTGGAGGGAAGCATTTTGGAAATGTGGAGCCATAGAGAAGACTTTCGTGGCTTGGACACCTGGAGTTTCAGGGAATTCTTACTTAAGTCCCAGAGGAGCTGTGATTGTCTGTGATTTCTGAGGTGACTCATTGATCTAGAAAGCTTGTTATGACTTGAATCTTAGTTCTTGTGGAGATGGTCAGCTCCACAAAATTAGCTGGGAAAAGTTTTATGGTTCCAGAGAAGGAGGGAAATTAGCAGGCTTTGCTGATCTCTCTTCTGTAACGATCTGTGTTCAGTCAGGGTTTTCCAGAAACAGAAATAATAGAACTAATATATATACATATCTGTCTGTCTGTCTGTCTATCTATCTATGTATATATACTAAGAGAGAGAAATTTTATGGAGAATTGACTTATGCAATTATGAAGGCTGAGAAGTCCCAAAATCTGCAGTAAGCCATCTGGGGACCCAGGAGGGACAATGATATAGTTGCAGTCCAAGTACAAAAGGCTGAGAAGCAGGAGAGCCGATGGCATAAGTTTCAGTTTAAACGCCAATGTACTCGGGACCCAAGAAAAGTCTATGTTACAGATTGAGTCCAAAGGCAGGAAAAGACTAATGTCTCACTTCAACAGTCAGGCAGGAGGAGTTCCCTCTTACGCAAGGAGGTCTGCCCTTTTGTTTTATTCAGGCCTTCAACTGACTGATGAGGACCACCTGCTTTAGGGAAGGCGATCTGCTTTGTTCAGTCTGCTGGTTCAAATGATAAATGTGATCAAGAAACACCCTCACAGATATACCTAGAATAATTTTTGACCACATAGATGGTCACCCTGTAACTCAGTCAAGTTGACACATAAAATTGACCACCACAGCCTGATAATTCTGATAGTTTTTTCTCATGTTGCCTGAAAGACACTGAAATTATCTATAATTTCCATTCCTCAGGCAGAATTTAAAATAACTGAAAGCGGAGTTTTCTGTAGAATCATTAATTTTTTGGACCTGGAAGAAATTTTAGGATGTTTGAGCCCAAGTCTCTGATTTTATCTTTACAAAGATAATCCTTTGGGGGTCCCTGAGCTGATGAGAGCTGGTCCCTTTCCTCCTGCTCTCAGGCTAGAGCTTCTCCTGTAATCCATAACACTTCTGAAGTCAAGAAAGATGTTATCTGGGGAGAGGCTTGCCTTCTCTCTCACCTGCTCCTGCTCTTCCTTCTTCTCTTACTCCTTTCACTCCTCCTCTTCCTCATCTTCTTGCATGTCTTCTTCCTCCTGTTTATCTTGCTCTTTCTTCTCCTCTTCCTCCCTCTCCTCTTCCTCTTTCTTCACCTCTCTCTCTCCCTTTTCTTTCTCCTCCTCTCCTTCTTCCTCTTTCTCCTCTTCCTGCTCTGTCTCCTCTTTTCCTGGTGTTGAAAAATTTAGGGATTGGAATAAATACAAAACAAAGCATGCTTCCTTAACTTAGGTTTATCTGTCTTCAGCCTGAAGGCAAAGGCTGTGATGGTCATCTCCCTGTGATGGATCGATCCTCTTTTGAGCCAAGATCTTGGAGACATAACCAAAGCAAGAGTGTCCCTGAGGACTTGGAAACTGTATATGTGGGGTTCCCCTTTGAGACTTGGCATCTCACAGAACAGACTATTTAGGACATTTGCTCAGCAAAAGGAACTTTGATTGGCACATACTGTACATTGGGTCCTATGCTGAGAATGTAGCTCAGTTAGGAGAAGGTGAGAGTTCCCATCAGAAAAATGAAGTAGACTTTTAGTTACCTTTCAGCAAGGAGATAAGAATTATAGATCAGAAACCATGGCAATGATACCTATATAATATTTCTCAAGTTTTGTTTTATTATTGATTATCCATTATTGTTGCTATTTTAATGTTGCTACTTTGACATATTCATTAATTCACTTGTTTATTCAACTGCATACTCAATTCCCTAACATTTACTTAACTCCAGCTGTATGCTAGGCATAAATAGGGCAGATTTTGCCCCCAAGAAGAGTTAATACAGCATAACAATTAAGAATTTGGACTTTGAAATTGGATGGGTGGTGTTTGAAGCTCACTTTTTGTCACTTATTTAGAAGTTACTCTCTCTTAACCTTGATTTGCTCATGTATGAAGTAGAGATTAATAGGACTACAGTGATGATTAAATGCATGGGAAGAGTTTGGCAGAGTACCTGGCACATAGTAAACATTCATGAACGCTTAGCATTACTTTTATTATTGACATTAACCTGCAACCAGCTCAGAGACTCCTGAAAGTAAACCAACAGTAAAGAAGAGCATGACAGTGTTGCCAATGCTCCATGACTAGTGGGGCTGAGGAAACTGGCACTTGATCCCAGCTACCAGGATCACAGAGGGCCTTCTGAGATGACATGGTACTCGAGTTGAGTCCTTGGGCAGACTAGGCGCTACCTTACAAGAAGTCAAAAAAAGGGTGTTTCAGGTAAAGGAGAATGGCAGTTATAAAAACAATAGATGTGGAAGCTCAAGGCACTTAAGGAGAAGGGTTTTAAAGAAACCGACAGAAGCAGACCTTGTCGAGACCAATTCCTTGTAGAGTCCCATTTTACAGATGAGGTGGAGGCCTAGATGCCTTGGTTGAAATGAATTGCCTAACGTTAAACAACTGGAGAGCGAGAGCGCTCTTTTACCCCATAGCCTCCCATTGCCAATGCAGAGCTGACGCAGGATCACATCCTTCTGGTCGTTTAGACGTAGAGTCAAGACTTTCTGTAGAAGTTTTCATCAGCAGCTTTTCCTATCATTTATGATCTTTTTGATAACACTTAGATACTGAGAGCTGATAAAGCATGTATTTTGGGGTATATGTTGCTAGAACTCATTAATGTTCTTCTTTTCTAGAGCCTAGTCACACTTTCTATTACCTCCTCTCCTCATTGCCAGGTCAAAGAGCTACTTGAAAATTCTTACCCATATGATCTAGTCAAGAAGAAGAAAGGGAACCAGAGAATTAATGATATGAAACAAACAAAAAATGTTCAAGTCTAGCTGTACTGGTTTTCAGCCCCCAGTTTCTTATCATTAGTATTTGTTTAGCAGATTAGTCACTCAATAAGTGGAGCTTACACCTACTGTGTCTTAGGTCCTGGAGACACTGTTATGATCAAGACAGACTGCCTTTGACCACAGTGATGGTGGGAATGTGACGGGTAAATAAATGAAGGACTGCAAAACAGTGTAATGAATGTAATGATAGGGAAATCTGAGGCTGTTCTGAGGGCTCCTGGGACATCTGTTCTGATCCCAGGTATTAAGGAAGGCTTTCTGGAGGAAGTAATTTCAGCCTTGAGTTTTAAAATGGGTCAGAGTTACTGAGCTACAAAGGGTCAGTGGTTGGGTGAAGGAGACTTAAGGAACAGCCAGTGTAATGACCTGGAAGGAAGAGAATGCATTCAGGACAGAGAAGTGAATCAGTGTGGCTGTAATGGAAGAGATTCATTTACCTCCAAAGGAGAGGCTGGAGAGTGAGGCAGAAACCAGAAATGAAATGCTATGTGAACCTGAGGAAGGAATTGGAAGTTTATTCTCAGGACAACATAGAATCATATACTATGTATCAGAAGAATGAAAAGCTCAGACTTGTGTTTTAGAAAGATCCAGCTGCAGTGCAGTGACTGAGTAGATAGCCTAGGCCAAGACTGGGCACAGGATCATCAGTTGGGAACTTTTCTAATAACT